AAATACATCTAAAGCATAGCAGCGATTTCCATGTTTTTTTTTAAAATCGAGATAGCAAGAAAAATAAATCATAATTAGAAAATGTTTTATTATCAAAGAATAATATCTTAAATGATATCTACTTGGAAATTTTTACAATCTGAAGATATATCTGTATATCCGAAGTCTGCGAATAACTTTACAAAAGAATTTCAATTATTAAAAGCTGTTAGTCCAATCACTGTGAGATTACAGCGTGAAACATCATGTGTAGCTGCTGTTGCTAATCATAAGATGATTGGTGTATTCTATCTGTTTTGGGACACATTTCTTTACCATACTTTTACGTATGCCTCCAAAAATGCAACAAGAAAGTAGCTACTATATTGTAACAAGCCGCCATTCATATACGGTCTGTGATTGTATATCAACAAAATCTGTCACGGGATGTGAAGGGGGATGCAAATTTCTACCCTATGGACTTGACCATGCCTACTCCTTTTATATCGTGTTTCACAAAATAAAACCAACCTTTGGCAAAGTCTGGACGTGGTAATACAGGAGGCACTTGAAATGGCATTTCACTTTGACCATTGCCACTACCTGTAAGAGTATACAAATAAAGCATGAAAATCATTCAGTTGAAAGACGTACTGGGTCGAGGTGGATATGGCATATATCCAGTCGGCTCTTGACTCATATAAGGTTGGTAACCTTCGTATGGTGGATTAGGTGCATTTTGGATATTTCGATCTTGATTCATTATATTTATCAATGCTAAAAAAGAAACTTTATTTAATATATGAAAAACATAGCATTACTAGACTAACTAAATTTCTTATTTAACAAAATGGCAATTCCTCCAGATCAATGGCACTCTCATAGTCTGCCTCAAATAGGGATGAATCATTGAATTAATATCAAAGCATCAGCATACTAATACACTTAATGATAATAGTTGTCTTGACATATTTTCCAAGACTCTTCGTAATATCAATTGTTGCTGAATAGGAGATAGTTTTTCTGATTGAGTCAGATTTTTCGGCTTTAGTCTCATTTCCTAGTAAAATCCACTGTAGCTGATCTGTATTAGGATTAGTCAATTTGTGTTGATGATATTTTGGTTTCAACACTTTGAAAAAATTAAAATTGCAGCTCGATACAGAATAGTTTTCTCTATCGATTACTATCAATCTAACATTCGGCCCGTCGCAAAAACTCAAAGGACGCTAAATGTAGTAGATTTGATACTTATTCGCTTAATGCTCTATATTTTTTGAATGGATGGAAAAAGGCAGAAAGGAAAAATATCGAACATAAAAAATGTAGAAAATCAAAATACCGAAAATAGAAATCATACAAATGTCGAAAGCTAAAAGCAATTAAAATGAAAGTAGGTCGAAAGAGAATCTTTCCCGTTTTCACCCTCACTCTTACATCTGCACCGTCACTTACATCCATCGCTTTCGATATTTTCATTTTCGACATTTTTTACTTTCGATATTTTTCCTTTCTGCCCTTTTCCATCATACCTATTTTTTCTGTTGTGTGAGCAGACTATCACATTTTAGTTTATATATATGATGAGTCAAGGGGAAAAGAAAAACATTTATTGGTTCATCTGCTTTAATCAATGAGCGCAACAGAGCAAAAGATGGCGTACATATCTATATCGATGCGAGTGATTCAAAAAACCATTAATTCAGATAAATATTTAAAAATATTGATTTGAACAAAAAAATCATTACAGAAGAGTAAGGATGTGAATGTGGATGTGGGTGTGGATGTGAGTGGGGTGTGGATTGTGGCTAAGAGGCAACCCACACACCCACATATAAGGGGGGAAAAGCTGATTCTAATGGATGTGAGGACCTTTTAGGATTTCATGAAGTTAAGTAAGAAAAGAGTAAAGTGCCTTCAGAATTTGTGGCTAAAGAGGGAGGTTCACTAATAATACACTCGATTTGAGTTCATACTTTGTCCATATTCAGAGCTTATGGCGTAGATAAAAATGCTGCAAAGATTCCTTCCATTAGGTCTTTGTTCTGGAGCTGTGATCATTTTATTGGGTTTCCAGCATATGGCTGCAAATTACTAAAAAAATCAAATCAAGGAATTTCAATTTTAAATTTTTGCTCAAACATAGATTTGATGGTTCTCTTAAAAATTCTGAGAGTTTCAAAGAAAATAGATGACTTACTACATAGATAACAGATTTGCAAATAAGATGTTTTTTCACAAAAAATACTAGAAAATCCTATTTTTATTAACATTTTATCCCGTAAGAAGTAATCGCTCATTTTCGATGAGACTCCTCAGCATATTATAAAAACCATACGATCTACGTTTAGACAAAATTTCGAATTGAAATTCTTTGATCGGGTTTTTCTCGCAATACCCTGCAGTACACTGGAAATTCAGTAAAAATGATCATAACTCGAGAAAAAAGGCTTAATGGAAGGAATCCTTTTTGAATTTTTATCTACGCTATAAGCTCTAATTATGAACCCAATATGAACTTAAATGGAATGTATTGTTGTTAAGATTCCCTCGTAAGAAGAAAAAGCAGATCCAAGATATTGAGATGCACATGTGTCTCGGTAAATTTTGGCATATCATGATAGATTCTGCGTGTTTGGGGCCTATCATAATTTACGCTTCCTTCATCAATTTCGTATTCTTGTAATGCCCATTTCTAGTAAGTTGCGATAGCTATTGGCACACTTCTATAAATCTACTATATAATCTATTGGGACTCAAGGATTCACAGGAATTCGCATTTTTTCTGTCGGCCAAAGGATGTTAGAACTTAAAGCAATCTGCTACTCTAGTCTCAGTCCTATTTTTGTCTATAGCAACTATAGAAAGATCTCTCAGGATTCTTCGCAAGATCTCTTCAAGTTTCTGCAGAGATTTTGTTATCATGTAAAGATGAAAGATTCAACTAGAATTTTCTCTTGATTTCACTCCGGACATCGAATAGAAGACAGAACTCTCCTTAGATATTATCAAGGTTTTACGAGGAACTGTTCTGGATCTCTGTGCCATGATCTTCCCCTCCCTTAGTGCTAAATCAGGCAAGATTCTTACGAAAAACAATACAAGAGCAAAGGAAATCCTTAAGTGGTGGACTCTGCCAAGGCTCAAACACGATTCTATCTCATTTTGTGAAACTCACATACATTTTCGAAGAAAATAGTAAGCGCAAGTTTTAAGATCAAGTTTTCCGGGTGCGGGTGTGAGTGTGGGTATGAGGGTATGAATGAAAACAAAATGCTTACCTCACACTCATACCCTCTGTTTTTGTCTGAAAGCTCGTTGTTTGGCCCAGTGACTCTTATAATCCTTTTTTAAAATGGTTTAAACATAGAAAAAATGTTTTTATTACTTGTTATTTTTCTTCAAAACTTCGCTAAATACGAAGAATTGTGCATTTTTTCCTCACGATTTCTATTCAACACTCGGTCAAACTAGTACGAAAAAGAAGCAAATCAAAAAAGAGCAACGACAGTTGCAAGTCTCAAGTTCTTTTCTGAAAGTAAGAAAAGAGAATTGACTTTATATCTTAACGTAGTTAAATGCACTTGGAGATGCGCTAGGTGTCAAATGGTTACCATTACATATACTGAAATTAATTTACCTGCCGCTAGCTAAAAGACATAAAGTTGAAAAATTTCTAGCATATAAATTATCCATCCTCAATCTGTGTACAAAGTTCCAGCTCTATTAAACGTGCTGGCTTCGATATGCCATTTTGAAGAAACAAAGGCCTTAAATGCTTGATCCATCAAATATTTCAAAACGTCCATTAGTGAACACTTCCTAATTGTGCACGATTTTGAAACGTCTGAACAATCAATTTATGTTAGAAATGTACCTTTCTACAATGAATACCTCGTATCGTGAATGTCCTTTTTTTCGGTCCCAATGGTGTTCATAATAGAGAGGTTTTACTGTAATTGATTGTTTTTATATTTCATACTTCTGTTTTTTCTTTTACTATTCTTAAATTTTTAACCAGTGAGTATCAAGCAAATATACATCATGTTAATAGGTATTAAAATACCTTTTTTGCTTGGAGCCAACGGTTATTGAATAATTTTTATGCTTTCTCTGAAATTCTATCTGTTTATTCATTGATATCATATTTTTTGTGCCTCATAATCGCCTTCGAAAAGCAGCATATTTGAAAAAGCACGAACTCTAGGACTTCCGAGATCAGTGGAGTTCCCTGAAGTTCGTGAGTTTGCTGTGTTCCCTTGAATCAATCGGACGGAAAGGTGTGGATGTGGGAATACTAAATTCACCGCCAGCACGAACACCTTCAAGCTAGGCACAATACTCAAACCAGATAACGTTATGCATCATGAAGAATATGTAACATGTTATCTATTTCGAGTTTTTAGATACGAGTAACACGATTACCGCTCATGTCTACTTTCAACAGTTGTACCGTTTAAACGAAGTTCTACTTCAAAAGCGGCCAGTTTCGACAAATCAAATAGGCGTCATTCTCCTCGATGACGATTAAAAATCATATCTTCCAAAGTTGACTCAGCAAAAAATTCAACAACTGATATAGAAAGTTCTTGTACATGAACGGTGCTCATGAGATCCTATATTGACAAATCATCATTTGCTTTGATCTCTTCGAAATCATCTATACAACAAACACTAAGAAGACTTCGGTGAATTCAATTCCGACTTTACTCTCTGTTTTTTTAATCACAACCGACTAGTTTCTACAATCATGAGATCGAACAAATGCTAGAAGATGAACGAATATTATCGAAAATAACTGCGATCATACTATTGATCATGTTACATATCTTTGTCGTCAAATAAATTTAGTGTTATACAAAAGAAAACTTGCAGACCTCATCATTCAACTCAATGCACATTATACACATATTTATTCACACAAGATAAATTTATTTCACAGATTGTTACATATTATCATTTTCCTTTCGAAAAAGATGTTATTTTCTTCCAACAATAAACAACACAATTTACTCTTATTTTCATCTTCCAAATATTTGAAAAAAACATATTTCTGCATTTGAAAAATATTCTTGTAAAGAATTTGAACGTTTTGGTTCATCATATAAATATAATTTATCAATTTTGGCACAATTCGTGTAGCATCTCTTGTGATATTGTGTCACTCGTTTTAAAGACTCATATTTAATATAAAGAACAATAACATTATTTGGGAAACATGCTTTAGTATCAAATAGAAATTCTTCTATATAATCATCATGAACATTGACAATACGAAGTTCACTAAGAAAAAAATATTCAATAGCATATAAATTTTGATTATCATTGATTAATTCATTAGATTGTTTACGATTTTGTAATTTACGATTAATCACATATAAATTTTCCGCATATGGAAATGATTGAACAATTCGAAGAAAAAAACTCATGTTCAAAAGGATATTCATAATATAATGGACATCACACGAACATATTTAAATAATCTACCTGGAAAATTATTTGTGATATCAACATAATATGATATACAAGATGGATATGAGTAAATATGACATCGAGTTTGTTTTTCCTCTGGAAAATAATCAACATAAGAAATAATTTCATTATTTGTGAAGTCTATGAATGTGCGTTGAATATCGTCTCTCGGTGGCAAATTGATTGCATTATCAATAGGCATCAATGAACTAATATAAAACGTAAATTGATTTAAGCGTGACATATGATTAATAATGCGTCTCTTCAAATGGTTTCCATCAATAAATGTCTCATGAACAAAAACCATAAAACACAAACCAAGTACCTCTAGATTTGACATACGATATAGTAATGAGAGGATTGTTTCATTATAATCCAAAGTTTCGAAATTATAGGACAGGGAAAAACACCTTAGATTTGACAAATCGTTCTAAAAAACAATATTTGTTTTTTGAGACTATAGACTTATTTCTTGCAAAACTAACCTGATTTTTAATTTTTTGTGGGCAATGAGTATTAACCAAATCAACATAGAGTGTATAAAGTTGATTAAAACAACCATCGAGAAGATAAAGACAATCATCGAAATATTGCACTCTGATATTTAATATCAAAACAGTTGAAGAACAAATAGTAGAATGTTATGGATCATTAAAATTTAATCGAACAGGACTTCAATACGATGATTCATATAATGTTAAAGTCATCAAACGGATGAAAACATTGAAGATGTAATTACATGTTTCCCACTGACAATAGCATCTCATCATAATCATCATTTTTATCCATTGTAATTAAAAGTATTGTAATTTGATTTTTTATAATTTCAGATGAAAGAATTTCATCTAAATACATATGTACAGTATTAGTTAGAAAAAAATGCCTATGAAAATAATAACAATATATTTTCAAATGATCTAGTTATCTATATGAATAAGTTTGATAAATCTTTCACTTTTGTTTAGAATAAAAATGATTGAATGAAATTGTCTTACCAGTAAAAAGACATCGAGCTGATACTTCATTAACATTGTAAAGACCGAGGCCACATAAATTAAGATAATGGGCACCACGTGAAACATATCTCATAGATGATGATTCAAGATCAAGCCATTTGATTTTATGACGAATTTCAGGTAAAATTTGTAAACGAAATTGATTAAGGATCATATCACAAGAAATTAGATCAATAAAATTATGTGAGAACCATTTAACCAAAGTCAGACGACTTGTAAAATTGGATCTTGAATAATCTGATTTAATCGTTTATTGACACCTTGTAAAGAATAAATTACATCAAAATTGTTGAGTGTTTTGAAAATAATCATAAGAATTTCATCAGATAAATCATTTAATTGAATGTATGAATATTCTATGTTTATTTTCACTTATCGACTCTTAAACTTATGAAAAATCAATCTTTATATGCGCATATACTCATCTGTTTTGTTAGACCGATGTCGTCAATAAAAAGAATAATGTTTTTTTTTTCTGTAGTCAAAATTGACAACAAATTGAAAGAATAAATGAATGTTATGTTTTTTTCTTATATTTGTCTAATATGTCATATGATAAAAAATGATATTTTTGTTTTCTTTCTTTCTTTATTTATTTTATAGTACATGTGAGCACTTGGAGAATTCAGTTGATACTTATGTTAGTTAAAATTAAAATTGATTAGCTAAAAAATGATTCTCTGATCATTTAGGAAAATGAATTTCAAAGTTTAAGAATAGACTCTAAAATATAAGATTGATTTGAAATTTCGTATTCAGCTGCAAGAGTATTTTTTCCTTTATATATTCATATTCCAACACTTTATTAACGACAAGACATTGATTGTTTTTGCAAAACTGTTGAGAAAAATTCTAGAGTATCATAAATGATCTAGAAGTGATATCGTATAGCTTTTAAAAGTGTTATCTCAAATTGCCAATTATTTTCAAATAAAATGCCTGAAGTAGAAATCAATGATCTTTTAAGATCGCATTAGTTATAATGCTAGTTTTTTTCTTCGTAAGAATTTCATTCAACAAAAACTTTCAAGAGCGAATTTTTCAGAGTATGTAGAATAATTGTATATATAAATGTGTATAATCTAGTGTTATAAACATTAATCATGTAGAAATCCATGCATTGTTCGTGTGGTAAGTCAGATTCGAAGCGAATAATTTTGGGTGTGGGTGTGTGGATGTGTGAGTGTAGGTGGGTGGTGGGTGTGAGTATTAGATTGATGTTTACTCATAGTCACACTGACACCCACACCCACACCCACACCTTCAAATTCAAAAATCAAATGTAAGTGTTATATTTATATTAATATTAATATTTATCTTTGTTCATTATTTAGTTCAATATCAAATTCAATACCATGTGTAAGTATTATTTTTATGGTAACACGAATGGTGCTCAAAGGACACTTGCTCCCCAGCGACACTTGCTCCCCAACGACACTTGCTCCCCGAATAGTTTAGGGTATAGGCGCAAGTCTGAGTGAGGGTGAGGGCGTAGATGTGGATGGGGATGTAGGTGTGGGAGAGGGCAAGACAAAGAGTGAGTTTCGGTTTTGATTTGGGCTTGATCTGGGCCTCGAGAGCAAATGTCGCTGGGGAGCAACTGTCACGGGAGCATCTGTCCGGGGAGCACCTTTCATGGAACCTATTTTTATATTAATACTTATCTTTTTTCATTATTTATTTGAATATCAAATTCAATATCATATATAAGTGCTATTTTAAAATAGATAATTTAGTTTTATCTTCATTTAGTTGAATATTAAATTTAAAAATCAAATGTAAGTATGATTTTTATATGAACATTTATTTTTTTTTTGATTTATTTAGTTGAATATGAAATTCAATATCGCATGTAAGTATTTTTTTTAAATACATAATTCTGTTTGTTCTTCATTTAGTTGAACATAAAATTCAAAAAACAAATGTAAGTATTATTTTTATACTAATATTTAAGTATTTTATTTATTTATTTAGTTGAATAGGATATTCAATATCATATCTAAGCATTTTTTTAAAACACAATTCTGTGCTTTCTTCATTTAGTTGAATATTAACTTCAAAATTATATGTAAGTATATTTTAAAATAAATAGTTTTTTTTTTCTTTTTATTTAGCTTAGTCACAATAACAAAATCACAAGTAAGTTGTATTTAAATTGAATAAATTTATTTATTTTGCATTTAGTTTTACTTGCACGACTCATCAAACTGAACATATGAATTTCGGGAAAGAATAAGTTTTCCGAGACCCTGTGGTAATGTAGATGAAAGGGTTGAGGACAATAATAAACACTATGATAAACCCAATAGAAGGGTTTATGTAAGCGTTTATTGATTTCCGGAACACTTTCATATACTCTTCCAAAGGGTTTCGGAGAAGGTTTATTGTTTTCCTAAACTCTTAATGGGTTTATTGACTTCCGAAACCCTTTCCTAAACCCTTTGGAAGGGGTTTATGGAAGGGTATATTGATTTCCCAAACCCTTTAAAAGGGTTTGGGAAAGAGTTTATTGATTTCCTAAACCCCTTAAAAAACCCATTAAAAAGGTTTAGGAAAATTTCACATACGGTAAAAAGAATTTATTATACGTTGCATTTTCATCAACCTTTTTTTGGGTTTATTATTCTACGGATTTTTTTTACAGTGTAGCAACAACGACCGCCACTTCGCTATAGTATACGGTACTATGCTGTGTAAAAATGCCGAGAGCAGGCCTTGTGATTTTGATGGTGCTATTGTCGGTGTTACACTAGTCGACAACAAAAAAGACCGCAGATTGCAAAAGTACGAGTTTTACAATAGAAATGCATTTTTCGGTCAATGAAGAATTCAATTTCAAAATTCATTCGAGTACGAATCAAACCATTCACGAGATTCTACCACTTGACAATGACGGATTCAGAATCAGAGGAAATATGAATAAAGAGAGCATCAACAACGTATGGATATGTAAGGGCTGTTCAAAAGATTTGGAAATTGCGTGGGACTTGACCCTAACTAGAATCTATGGATGGTACGCACAGGATGTGTTTGAACTTCCTGATAGGTGGATAGAAGACATGACAATGTGAAACACCTATTCTCATGCTGCTGATGTCGAAGGAAAAGTAAAAATTGAAGATGATGAATTCATTGTGGAGAAGGGAAATACCGCTAGAGCTTATGGTGATTCTAATTGGGGTGAAAGTATGCCTTCCTCCCACCAGAACAAGAGCCCAGCATGAAGTATTCATGGGGATGGTACTTTGTAAATGTTCCAGCAGACGATAAGTCTCAAGAACTCAGTATTATTGATGGCACTGGTCTCAGTTATGCTGACACATTCTTAGGAATGATGGATACCCGTTTCTGCGATATTCGTTTAGATGGAACAACACATCTAGAACTAAGAACGGTAAAAGTGTGGGATTTAGCATTTGATTCATGCAATGATGGAACACTTCAACGATTTGATGTGGAACACAGTCACTGGACTAATATTACTGATTCGTTTGGTAATGCCACTATACCACTGCGTCAACTCGTCACATTGGAAAGTGACAGTTATTTGATTACAATGGATTTTAATAGCGTCGTAACGAATTATAATCGATTATTGTTTCCTTTTACTAGTTATGTATTCTCAGATTTTGAAGACCTAGGTGTATCGACAAATTTATTGATCGTTGATAAGAAAGCTGAACAGACTTTGAGAAACGTCACTGTAAAAAGCGGTGGATTAGAATATGGATATCGATTTAATATAACTAACACCTGCTCCTAGATAAAAAATTACCCGATTGTTAGGAAGTATCATCCTAACGATATTCAATACAACTATCTTAAGACTGTGAGTGTAAATTGAATTGATAGAAGAGAAACGCGCCGACAGCCAGTTATCCACCCACGTCCACATCCTTTTTATTTTGTCTTTTCTTTGATTTCTTATTGCAAAACGTACTTTTTCTAATAACAGTAACGAAAAAATAAAAGTTTTTCTTGTGTTTGTAAGTTTGAAGCATCGAAAATTGCAAAATTAGAAAAAGAAATATGATATGTTCAATCAGCATTAGACATCTAGTCAAAAGCAGATGTCGTCACACAATGTTCTTCATACCGAAATGTCGGTCTAACGAGAACCGCCAACGAAATGAATAAACAACAGCTAAGTTTCAAGAAGAAACCAAATTTAGATGAAGAATATTTTATAAAAAAAAAACTACGTTTTGCCAACTCAGCTTCTTATAGCAATTCAGAATATTATATTTGTTTTCCTTATTTTTCAGTTTTAGGGGTGGGCGTGGATCTTCTCTTCAAACTCACACCCTTGACTTACGAGGAGATCTCTTCAGGTGCTAAAAAGCTTTTGAGCTTAAATTTTTCTCACAGATAGGAGATGCATAGACTAGAAAAATCTTAAGAGTATATGGATCCAAGATGCGTTTTGACTGATATACCAACTTTTAACTTTGATTTTCCTATAGAACTCGACTTCTCCGGTAATATCATAGTTTTGAGTTTTGACCTGAGAGTGTACAAACATAGAAGTCTCAATCAGAATAGCTTATCTACAAAGTTTGAAAATTTTTCGTTGAATTATCTCTGAGATACGGATTTTTCAAAATATTCGTGCAAAATGCAGTATCGATCAAAAGCGTCTATAAGCTAACATACTGGTATCTCGGAAATAATTCATCCAGAAATTCTCAAACTTTGAACATAAGCTATTCTAATTGAGATATCGATGCATGTAAAATTTCAAGTCAAAACTCAAAACTATGATATTACTGGGATAGTTGCGTGCTATAGGAAAATCGTGGTAAAAAATTGTTATCTCAGTCAAAACGCGACTTGAACCCATATCCTCCTAGGATTTTTCTAGTTTATACATATCCTACCGGTGAGAAAAAATTGAGCTCAAAAGCTTTCTAGCACTTGGAGAGGAGAGATTCTCTGGTTAATAGCACTTACTAAAGATTATTTTGCCACTGCTCAGAATTACATTGTGCTGAACTGTTCAAGAAAACACGATCTTCATTCAAGAATGATCATGAGGGCGGCGATTTCGAACGTTTTTTGAATAAAACATTAATCTCTTACTTGGTTCCTTGCGTTCGCAAGAGAAATCTGACTTCAGATTAATGTCCAGCGTCAAATTTTACATTGAACAGGCTATTTCAGAACACTTTAGAGACATATATCCCCCTGGAAAAAAATAGTGTCACACGATATTCTTGATATATCATCATTATAAATTAACATTTTGAGTAAGGTAGTTATATATTCGGATAGCCTGTGGAATTCTCTACAAATCTATATATGTACGTTTTGAATTGCACTTGTTTGCTAAAAATAAATTCATGCACAACAAAGGTACCCTCATCGCCAGATTCCCTGGAAACGCATTTTGTTTCTTCATCCTTTTTTTTCAAAAATATTTTAATATAGGAACAAGTTATTACAAAAGTACGCATATATTCTGAAAGCGCGTGAAATTCTCTATTATCCTATATATCTATGTCTTATCTTGCATTTCTTTGCTGCAGTGAATAAATGCAAAAAAAGACATACTTATTTAGGATGATAGAGAATTTCATGCGCTTTCAGAATATATACTTACTTTTGTAATAACTTGTTCCTATATTAAAAATATATTTGAAAAATAAATGAAAATAAACAAAAAAACATTTTTCCGAACAATATGAAGATGAGGGTGCCTTTACTGGGCTTGAATTTATTTTTAGTAAACAAGTGCACTTCAAAACGTACATATATAGATTTGTAGAGAATTTCACGGGCTATCCGAATATATAATTACGTTACTTAAAATGTTAATTTATAATGATGATATATCAAGAATATCGTGTGACACTATTTTTTTCCAGGGGAATATATATAACGATAACTTCAGTACTAATTAAGTTGAATCAAAAATTTTGCTTCTATTTCTAAAGATAAAAATCATCAACAGTGTCAAAAAGGTAACACTTAGTAACGTAATTCCTATGAGATTAAAATGTAAAACACGATGTAGCCGCTGTTGTCAATCACAGTCTGTGATACGGAGGTACAGGAAATGCTGCTAACGCATCTGCCACGATCTGTGACATTTCTATGTCCAGTCTGTTATAGTCGATGATGTTTCTATGGTAATGTCTGTCTAATAATATTATCTCATTACAACATCTGATATTCGCAACGGTTTGTCTTTTATTTCAGCAAAAAAAAATGGTTGCGATTGTATAATAAGAGCATTATTTAAGATCGATAAACAAATATTTCAAAGTATTATTATTTGTCTTTTATTCTTTCTTTTTCAATAACAAAAATATTTGATTCGAATTTAACTGCTGGAGTTTTTAATTTTCTAAACGAGAAAATATTCAGAAGTCTGCACCTCACTTTTCGATATTTTTACTTTCGACCAAAGTTGAAACAATCAACAAAAGATCATTCATTTCAAATCATTTATATATAGAATGTCGAGTGTATGTCTGTGCCCGGGTCAAGGGCCAAGAGTCGCCGGTGTCTTACATGCTCCAAATCTCAGCATTCTGTCTCCGATATGAACATGGGTGCCGAGGAAAGAGAAAAATGTCACACACAGCAAGCCGGATGTAGAGAGTTTAATACTGTGATAGAGAGCAATAAGATGCAATCAGTAATTAATGAAAGCTTTTTATTGCTACAAAAAAGAAGATATCAGCCGTGCGATTCTAATGAGACCTTGCTAGTAAATTTCATGTTACTAGATACATTATAAGTATATTCGTCATTATCGGAAACTTGTAGAAAAGTTTTGAAGCAATAGGTTTTCTTTTACATTTAGAGCTTCAATAGAATCCTTGTGAAACTTTTTAAAATCATCATGCGCTCTATTAATAATAGTGTCTGGCGGACTACTCAAATATGTAAAAATCTTAAAATCAAATTTTTCGTTGAAAATTGCTTGTATGTTACGAAAAACATTTTTTTTTAAAGAATTTGGATTAACTATTCAACACTCAAAACATCATTGGCGTATGTGGCATGTACTTGGCTCATGGCGTGCTGGTGAAAATAGTGGTGGTTCATGTGCAAATTCAGGTTGTCGTCATGGTTGTTATTATTGGCGTAATCCACAATTTGTTATTGAATTATCATTAAATCGTTCATTTAATTCCAATAGATTATGTATGATGATAATTGCATTAATGCAAAAGCCAATAACAAATAATTCAAATGTAATATCAAATGAACAATATATACAAATACGTCTTTTTAAAATAAAACCAAATGTTAAAATATGTGAGAAAAAAATTTATAAACCAGATGAAGTTGAACGCATTGGTAGATTTCAAAGAAAAAAAAAAAACTTTCATAAAATTAAAATTTTTTTTTTAAAGCATCAACAGGTCCGTATGGTAAGCTTAAATATTCTTATTTATCTTATCAATGATTTATTAAAAATAAAAGTTAATCGTCGTGAAGTTTCTTTATTATTAAAAACAACAACAGGTGCATATTTAATTGTTCCTAGCATGGCAGATGTTGATCAAAATTGTGATTTTTTATTACGAATTTTTTCTCAAGATACAACAATTGGTCGAACTTTTGTTAACATATTTGCTAATGATAATTTTGAAGATTTATCACGTCGAAATCTAAATCAACAATATACATTATCAGAACAAACACCTAGTAAATTGAAAGAATTTTGTTAAAACTTTTATTATAGAATATATTTTATTTAATTTAGTGAATATATTTTTTGAAGCAACACATTCAAGAGAATATTATAAATCTACAGATCTTGATGAAAAACGTATTGATGTCATTCCAATTCGACCTCAACGCTACACATATGAATAATCATTTCTTTTTTTTTTTCTATACGAAAATCGGAATTGATTTTATTGTCATTTTAATAAATTCATATTCATGAATGTCAACAGAATGAAAATGCAATAACAATAGTTTTCATAAGTGCTATGAAATTTAAAAGAAAATATTATTGCAACATGTTTGACAGTGAAATAAACTTGATAATTTTTAAGAATTTTTCAATTTGGATATTCGTTTCTAAATTTAAAACTTGCAAAGATAAATAATTCTGTAAACGTCATATCTATTTCTAATATTATAATTCTTATGAATCTATGCAATGGCAAGAACAATTACCAAATGATGACAAAGATGAATCTTTCGTGATATTTGAGTACATAATTTCTACTGATTAGCGAGTTGGAATCGGTAGAGTTTTTTCTTTATCACTGGCATTGACACTGGGTCAGGCCGACCTAAGTTCTTCTTCGCTTTTTTTCATCAAATAATAGTTATATCTGCCGCTTAGTACCTACTACGATTATAAGATAGATGGAAAAATATCGTAAGTCAAAATGTCGAAAAATTCCTAATGTCTACTAAAGAAAAAATATGAGAGTGTGAGTGTGATTGCGAAAGTAGCTGTTGTTGTTGTTTTTTCTTGACGCACTTACACTCTTTTTATAATTCTTGCACTGAATAATAATATAAAAATCGACATTTTCTTTCATTTGGCAGATTAAACAGATAGAAAATGCAGCATTGGGAAATTTTCAATAGTTTCATTCAATATGCAATACTTTCGATATTTTGATTTTCGCCATTTTACTCCTTCAACATTTCCATTTTTGATGTTTTGCAACTGTATCTAATAATGACCCAGCCGTTCTATTTCATTACAATAATGCTTGTCATTATTTATTAATTCATAAGTGCTTTGCTCAGTTGGCATCTATCAGTGGATAGAAAGCTTCATAGGCCTACAAATTTGATAGCTACTTTTGTACATATAATTCAAAGCTCGTCAGATATGGATATTATAAATTAATGCTACATTTAGTCTGTTTTCATGTTATATTCATTTTGTTATCTCTTATATCTGTGCAAATTGTACGCTATAAATAGTAACAGCTATAAAGAAATCTATAATCAATAACAATGCTAAATAATAATCATTTGCTTGTATTTTGATTACATAATTTATTATTCAAATGAGTTTTAGAAATCTATTAAATATACTATGAAGAATTTTCATTCGATAAAAAGTTTGATGCATGTTTTTGCATGAATGTGGTCTTTGTCATCAATAAAAAGAAATTGATTTTTGACAAAAACAATTTTATTATCAATTTTCTAGGAAAAAGAAAAATATACATAAGCTTTAAAAAAATCAGATCGATAAGTAAGAAATTCTTTACCGAATCGAATGGTATCGATTACCGATCATAACTCTGACTGACTAATATAATCCAGTAAAAGATCACTCATTCTTTATTAAGAATTAGAATCAAACATTTCAAGAGCAATAAATCTTTCTATAGATACGTTTTTTGTCCATTGATATGCATATTATATTTTATTTTTAAACGTGAATAGTGTGAAAAAAATCTTCTACGATTGATCTGAAAATTATTCAATAATAATAAATATGAATTGTTTAAAATTAATTATTATCGATATTGATATGAATGCATGTCATTTCATATGTATTCAATGATTTTGTATTGTATTTATATTAAAAAATTATTATTTTTAAAAACAAAAATTATTTGTCACATATGTTTAGGAGTGAGAAATACACGAATAGTCTATAAATGATTTCTCTTGAGACTAATTTATTCTATCTAATTCGATGATGATACGAGTGGCATATGTTTAACTTCTTATTATACTAGATCACAAATCAATATCTTCCATATTCTACGCATAAGAAAAAATAATGTCCTTGAGAACAAAAGAAAAGAAAAATAATTGCTTTCATGTTCTGTCTTTATCTATAATCACGTCATTTTCGATTAGTAGTAATTAAATTAGATTTATGAATTTGCATTAAACTTAACTAGGATATATTTCATCAGTGAGTGATTATATCTGGATTATAGAATTTTCTTGTATATTTAGACATGGTAGCTATCTATCAAATCTTTTTTTTTGTTATTTGATATTCTCTGAAGATTATTTTGGTTTATTGTGAAAGAAAAACGGGAATTATGAAATATGTATATCGCTGAAAATAAAGAATGAAAAATCATGGTAGATTTATTTCTTGTTTTTTAATACTCAAATGAGAATTAAAATTAGAGAATGTCTCATACTTTTAGTACCAAAATCAATTAAGATATAATGTCAAAAAACAAACTATAGAGATTAGATCAAATTTTCCCTAGATAAATATGAAAAGAACTTTTGATTTCCTCATGAGAATGATACAACATTATATAGCTATACAATAGTAGATACAAAAGTGTTTCTTATAGGCAAGATACAAGAAAGTAAACAAAACAATGATGCTTGAAGATTGTTGATCGTCGACTAAATAAAAATATGTTATGGTATGCAGATCGATTCAATATTGTTAAATCACTTGAAATAAAACACACTTGTTAGAATGCACCAGATTGAGTTTTATATGGGCACTGTTTTTATGATGTTCCATATAAGGCTTTGTCCCAGGTCAAAGAACTTATTAGTGTATGCGTCTGACTGTTGCAACTCGTTCTTTTCTTTTTTTAGTCATACGAAAAAAAAGAGCCTAAGGGGGGAAGAAAAAGAGAAATAGAATTGCTTGAGTTATTTTTCTTAAATTATTATTTTTGATTTGTTTTTGTTATTAATCGTGAGAATGTCAGAGAGAAGATATAAGAACGTGAAGGAATGGGGATAAGAATCTGTTTTTTTTTCTCTATCATTTTTTGGATTCACAAAATATTTTGATTTAGAAAAATATATACTTTATTGATTATATGTTTGGTTTATAATCGTAAAAATGATTCGATATTATCGAAAGGAAAAGAAAATGAAAGGTAATGAAAGATTCATATTGATTTGTAAAAAAAAAAACGAAGAAAGAAAGTAGAAATACGTTATTCTTCAAATATGAAGGTTAATTTTGTAATTTTTTCTTGAAAGAAAAACGTATATCGACAGACATTTTCTGATGTCTATGTTATCAAAAATCCTATATGTCTGTTGATCTGAAGAATATTATTGATAAGTGTTTTTTTAATTATATGAAATGAGAGATGTATATGGTCTGTTTATTTTTGCATGTATGCATCTAAGATAGAACTTGTAGGCGTTTACTAGTGTATTGACATGTAGGAATACTTTCTTTCTGTTTTTTTTCACATCGAACGGAGAATAGACGGGAATAATCCGAATTATATGGTAGTATAGCCATCATTGGCAAACAAATTACAAATATGTAAATTCTTCAACAGGTTCTGATATCTTTATTTATTTGTTCTCTTTCATTCGTTCTATCTATTATGAAGAAGTAGTCTTGTATAAATAGAATATAGCAAAAATTGTCAAATATTTAGATATAATCATCGAACAGTAATATATTATTAATTGACGTTAATATTAGTTCAAGAGTCTGGCTTCTATACAGATTTCTATCTCAAAGTATGTAGAATAAATAAAAGAAAAAATAATAATAAAAAAAATTCGATTTATGTTTTTTGAGAATCTTGTTACATCGTTTATTCCTGTTATTTTTATTACTGGTATCAAGACCGAAGCATCATTGCTTAGGTTTTGTTCCGGTCAATAATGATATTGAATGTCTTCCAGTAGACATTCAATTATATACTTGGTCAGGACCCGGTTTTGAATCTGGTGAATGTTGGTATCAAGGACATCGTTTTGCAAATGGTGCCACATGGGGTCGAGTAGATACACCGGGTTCTCCTCATTGTGTTTGTGAGCAAGGTAAAATCCGTATATTTTACAGTCAACAACAATCTGTTGCGTCTGATTCATTGACTATTCTACGATCAATTAATGGTACATTACCAACAGCCAAGGACTTATCGAAGTGGCCTACTGGAAATTTTCCTACTATACGACAACGTATGGTACTTTGTTCAAGAAATCGAATTGGTTTACGTATAAGATCGAGAGATGGATGTGTTGGATGTAAATGTTCTCAAAATGGACATTGGTTATGTCGAAAAGCACTACCATTAAGTAGAAATCGAACAGTAAATCCTCAATTACAGCAATCATCAAGGTAATCAACATATTTTTATATAAATGGAACTTATTTTTCAGCAAGAAAAAAGCCGGTGATGAAAGTTGTAATTTTCAGCATAAAATAAATATTGATTTTTGTTTTTTTTTTTATTTCGTTAGAAATTATCCTTCTTCATATACCGAAACATATCGTATTAATCTTCACGTGACGAGTTTACGTATACAATCTGAATGTTCATTAGGTAGTATACCGAAATTTTGTATATTAATCGAACGTTTATCATCAGCAAATATTAGTAACAAATTAAGTCGTTATATTGAAATTCCTCGTGAAACATCATGGATTGATCGTAATATATGTACACGATGTTCATGTACATTAGATGGTCAATTAAAATGTGAATTCATTCATCAAGCATGTTCTCGTCCTTGTTTTTTACATAAAGCACGCCCGATTTCAATAATGTATTATTTTCCATCGGGTACAAAATGGTTAACACCACAAAATGAAAAATGTCGTTCATGTATGTGCATTAATGGACAAAGAAAATGTACTAATTGTGATCGAGTTGTTAAAATCGATGTTAGTGCTAATAATAATAATAATAATGACAATAAAAAACAACCAGCAGCAGCTATTGGTCATTATAGATTATTACCAACAGTACCTGATATTATCAAAGCAAGACCATGTTTACTTCGAACTGGTACTGGTTCTCATCGTTTAATATTTCCAGGACAATTAACATGGTTTGAAAAACGGTGTTATTTTTGTTCACAACGTGGTGATCGATTGATAACATGCTAAATTAATTTTTATTCTTTTATTTCTCTGTATTTTAGTCAATTGATTGAACTACTACTTAGCTTCCTTTTTTTCTTCGTTAGATTATAGTTTATATGTATCGTAAAAATACAAACAAAAAAAAGATCTAATGACAGATAATTTTGTAATATTATTAGAAATATTCATTAACATGTAGTGTATCTATTGTGATCTGTTTCGATTGATTCGTCTTGGTTTTATATTGTTATATGTTGTGGAATATTTTTTGCAAAAGATAAGTGAACTATAATGTCAATGTAAGATATTGAAATATGGGGTATGCGTTAGAATAAATGTCTTGCGAACAAAAGTCAATAATAAAAAAATTATTTTGATCCATCTGTTCTTTTTTTGTTGCATCTTATTTTGTACAGAATAATGATCAAGAGTGTGTGGAACGTGACACCTCTCTTTTTGCTTCTGAAATTCGTCCACACAACGCCCACTTTTGTGAAATTCAATCACTCTGCGCTGTGCTGTCTTCATTGCTGAGTTACGCCTCTCATAATGATAGGTATACCATGAAACAGACAGGTTGATTAAAACAATTTTATAACTAAGAAAGCTGTGTATTGTAGTTTGAACAGTGAAATAATAGAAGAATATTTATTTAAAAAGAAACTTGTATAATACTGGTTTCACTTTTGATTATACTTTTCCATGAATCGATTAATTTTCCTTCTTTATATTTCTAACAAAAGAAAACATAAAAACATGCAATTTTTTTTTCTGTTTTCCTTTGAAATATTTCAATTTATAACTGATTTTCTTATATCTTCATAGGTTTAATTGATATATTATTTCATATGAATTGAATATATTTTTGACTTGTATTTATTTTATTTTTCATAAATTAGAGTATGTTGTTTTTTGAAATAGTTTAAGATCATAAATATACTGTTGTTTATTATGTGGAAAAAAAATTATTGATAATTTTTCTGTTCAAAGAATTTACTGAATCGTATAAATCATCTCATATCAAAGAACATCACAGGGGGTATACCACCCTGCAGATAAACTACAGTGGACGTCAAAAGTCTCGCACCACTTTTTTATTTTGAGTCGTGTATTTAGACTACACAACATTAATTCAATTCAATTATATGCTTGGATGGCAGAGATCGAGTACTATATATACACATCTGTTCAATTCGAAAAAACCTTGAATATGAAATACAATAAGAAAAACAAACTCCAGTTCTACGAAAAAAATTACATAAAAAAAGACAACATGATAATAAAAATGTTTGGAAGACTTTTTGCTGTGCAATAGGAATTTCTTTATACGGCTTTTGTAGAGCTTTTGACGGTGCATCTTTTGAAAAAAAATCAAGATGCTATCATTTGTCTTTGCAGAGATATTCACAAAACAAACTATGTTGGAAACATTTTTGAAACACCGGGTATTCTACAGTGTTTAATATTTTGATTATAATACCGTCATTTCTCAATGAAATTCAAAATATATCTTTACCAAAATGATCAGCGAAAAAAGCTCTACAAAGTCTGTTAAAATGATAAGTTTTCTGAATACTTTGAGCTTTTTATTGGCGACTGCCTATGAAAGTATCCTATAACAACAATATCATTTTGTCTTTTTTTAAATAATTTTTTTCTTAGTACTGGAGTTTGTTTTTCTTATTGTATTTCATATTCAAGAGTTTTTCGAATTGAACAGATGTATATATATAGTACTCGATCTCTGCTATCCAAACATATAATTGAATTGAATTAATGTTGTGTAGTTTAAATACACGACTCAAAACAAAAAAGTGGTCCGAGACTTTTGACGCCCACTGTATGTTATTCGGCACTAACTGCTGCAGAATATTCAAAACACCTAATTGATTGTGATCTGAGAAAGTTCTATTCTATTAGTGAAATTCGGCGTGATTTTTCGTTATTATCAATATTAGTCAGAATAGTATATGTTATACCAATGACTAATGCTTCGGCGAAATTGTAATTTAGTTCAGTTGACTTGACATTTACTCAAAGGCGAATACGTTTATTATCAAGTCAAATTGGCAACGTTATTTATTCGGTGTTATGAAAAAGTTAAGAAAAAGAAACATTATCCGTTCTTGTTATCCGTCTGTTTCTATTTATTTTGCACTTTGAATCGTGTATTTTTATGCTTTTTGTATTATTGTTTTGCACACCTTATGCATGTCAAATATCTTTTTTTATTGGTCATTTCATTTTTGCTGGAAAACATGTGATAAAATTTATATATATGATTATTGTAAATGTTTTTTTGAATCAAAAGAAGACTCTGTGATATTTAACATTGTACCTCATACACAGACAAATTTCATATCCTTATCAAAAAGCAATGAAAAAATTGTCGTGCAAGTCGAACATTGAAGAGTTGATTGTTTTGCATAGCAAGATGACTGAATAAAAGTGTCCTGAAAAATGCAGAGCAGGACGAAGAAAACCCGACCTGTTTTATATCTCAAAGTATTTTCCAGAATATTGAAATTTATTAATGTAAGAATCTGATAAAGGCAATCAAAAAGAAAAATATAAATAAAGTCTAATTGTCTAAATGGTAAGTTCGTATCATATACTGTGACATTGAAATTGACTTTTTTGAGTTGAAATAAATGTTTTGATGACAAATAATAGCAATTTTTTGATAGAGAAGAAATCAGTAGAAGATTACTTAAAAAAGAGTGAATCGCTTATTTTATCGATTTTTCTGATCACAGCAGTTATATCGATATATGGTATCCCAAAAGTGCGTGCAGAAAGTTTGTTTGAATTTCTACCATAAAATTCAAGCGACTTCATTGCCTCTGTTTTTAATAATATGAGAGTATATTCTTGTAAATTTAGTTTGTTTTTATGATATATGGTTCAATAGAATAAATTGTGCTTTACATAAAGAGTACTTTTTATCGTAGCTTTCCTTTGAGTAAGAATTAAAATACAAGGTTGTTCTGACCCATACTAGAAATTTTGAACAAAAAGGGGAGAAAAAAAAATTTGTTGTCATGCGATGTTTAGCTAATTTTATTGTTCGTTACATCATTATCAAGAGTACTACAAATGACATGAGTTATTCTATTTGAATAAAATATTTGATCTTGGAAAATTGTGTTGATTGTCTCCTATGTGTACACTGATCTTAGAGAGACTACTTAGTACAACCTCATTCACGCATTGAAAGAAGTATGAAAAATTATTTTAAAAACTTGGATTTGTAAGGAATCTTGTTTCGCAGAAAATTCTTATATTTGAAATTAAAAGTGACGATTTCACTTAAATTAAATAGTTCTATTACGCTATAAATAGCAAGTGTAAAAATTTTACTGCAGTTCCAGCAATAGATTGGATATATATATATCTCATCAAACAAAATTGTGTCAAGTAAAACTTAACAAAGTACTTCATTCTTAATTTCATTGTTTACCTACATTAATGAGAGTTGCGAAAATAAACTATCTATTTAATGAGATTTGCACTTAGACTGTGACTGAGACTGTCGTAAAATTTTTATATCTGCTATTTATAAAGCAACATAGCTATATGACTGAAATGATACAATCGATTTTAAATTTGAATATAAGAGTTTTGTACAGAAAAGGATTTTCTACACATCCGAGCTTTTAAAATAATTGTTTATACATCTTTCAATGAGTAAATGGGACCGTACAAGGTCTTTCCATGATTGGCGCAGACATAGGAGGCGATAAACAAAATTTTCCAACAAGAAATAGTTTATTCAAATAGAATAATTCATGTAATTTCTAGTACTCTTGATAATGATGTAACGAACAATAACATTAAATAAACATCGCATGAAAACAAATGTTTTTCCTAACCTTTTTTGTTCAAAGTTTCCAGTATGAGTCAGAAAGACCTTGTTTTTTAACTTTTACTCCAACGAAAGCTACAATAAAATATACTCCTTGCGTAAAACACAATTTACTCTATTGAACCATGCATCTTAAACAATTAAGTTTCAACTTAATTAGGAATAGACTTGCAATTACTTCCAAACATAAGTGATTGGATCATTTGGAAGAAAGAGAAACGACATACAGTGATTTTATTGTCAATAAAAACTAAACAGATCAATCGATTGATCAGAAACATTTTTTACTAGAATACTAGAGACTATGGACTGTAATCTGACGAAAATCAGATCATTCTAGCTCGTCAAGTATTTGAGATAAACACAAGCTAAAAATTAAAACCATCTCCTGATTAGACAATTTTGACGACTACTGTATGACTCATACAGATAAAAGTTCACTTTTCGTCCGAAAAAAAGAGATTTTCTTGATTATTGATAATTTCTAATATGGATATCCATGTGATGTAATTTCAACTCGATCTTGTAAATTTTCTTTGTGAAATTATTGAACGTGATACACCTTATTTGGCTTCATTGAATATTAATCAGTCATAATTCAGATTATTGTTATTCGTGGAATGAAACACAGGCTGCTGCAGCAATTCGAATACTCAATAGTTGCAAGCATCAATGAATTTCGTCTATTTTTTCTTCTGGAGTTTTTGAAGGCTTTTCAGATTCTTATACACTCACTGCTATAATGATTTCCCTAAAGAATAGAGAAGCATCTCTAATACAATCTATGTCTGACGTTTGTATGTCAAATGTAACATACACTTTTCTTTTCACAAGAATAGGTAACTAAAATTTAACTATGAAGATAAATGATTTCTATTCCAATGTTAATAAACATAGAAATTTATCTGAAAATCTGCAGAACAAAATTTCAAAGAATATATTAAAGTATTATTTAAAAAATACATATTTGACAAGTGAGTTTAGAATTTAATAGTTGAAATTGAAATAATATTTTATAATAAAAGATATGGTGAGTGTATGAAGAAGAAAAAAGCTTGTTTATTGTTAATATGATTTAATTGTATTTTGAAGTTTACATGAAAATAGAGATGTATTTCGATTGTTATTCTATATATAAATAATAATAACTTGACTATATTTGTTTTTTCTAATAGAAAATATATTTCGACAATATATTGTTTTGATTTCTAAAAGATTAGATAATTGATAAAATTTCAATAGTTAGTTGATCGATTGATTGTTTTTTGTATTGACTAAATATGTTCAATCTATTGTTTCACCTTGGGGATATTCAATGATTAATGAAGTTTTTTGAAAAACTATTGTTTTTTTTTAATCAGTAAAAGAAAACAACAAAAACCTTTTATTTATTCCGTTTAATGTGACATTATTTAAAGAATACTTGTCTAAGTCAATTAGTTCATCTTGTTTATAAAGCTTTATTTCTATTACGAATCTTTTTTACGAAGATATTTTTAAAATTAATTTGAACATTGAAAAATTCTCATTTCATCTGTGACATTTATAAATCGTTTGATATGTCAAAAAGTTACTCATGCAAATTTTCCGATCCAGCTTTTAGAACATTCTGTACTATTGAATATTTGGTGTATTTTAGTCATATATAAAGCCGGAGAGACCATCAATGTGTCCAGATGAAATTTTAGCGTAATACATCTTGAACCGGTTTTCATTAAGGCGTAATAGAATTAATGATGTTAGAAAAAAATGACCTTACTATTATGGATGAATAAAGGTTTATGAGGTCATTTTCATCTTTTTGTCTCCATGTTGAGTATTTAGACATGCTACTTAAACAGTCCTCAAATATATAAAAAAAAAAGACTATATTGCCGTTAATAAAGAGAGAAATAATAAAAATAGCATGAATCTTGGTATTAAAAATAAGAGGACTAGAAATGATGAAAAAACTATGTATGACTAAATCAGTTTGATTATGTTATGCCAGCAAAATTATTAAAATTAATGTATTTGATTAAGGTGAAAATCTTATGTTTATGCATCATTTGTTTTAGGCAAATATTTATTTTTTATTAGATTAATTTCAATATGATAAAATTTTAAGTATTCGTTTGCTCGTCTAGATAATTCTTAATTTTTATTAGAATCAGCAAATATTATTCATTTCAATATGTCAAGATTGGTATACAATACACAACTGATATTTATCCCATAAATTCACGTGGATCACCTTTTCTGATTGATTTAGTTCGCCGTTCGAATATTCCACCATCATTTAATTTACCATCATGCATTTCTAAAGCAAGATTACTTAAATATGTTGCGAGACCATTAGGTCGATAAACATAATCAAAATAAGTATTTGGATCATATATATCTTCATATCGTTCACTGTCGATCGGTCGAGATATATATCTCGAACTAGAATAATTTTTAAAAAATTAATTCAAATATGTTTTATAAAATTGAACTAACTTGCTCAAAACAATGCTTAAAGTTAGCAACCATAAAGCATAATAATAAGTATGCATGATACTAATCGTTGATGTCTATATATGATGCGTGTGTAAGTGAAAAATGTTATATGCTTTTGTCTTTTTATTTATATGTGTTTTGATATGGGCGTAGGAATGAAATAATAATTGTTAGTACTGTGTTCGAAAGAAAAAATTTTATGTAATAAATAATGTCTACATCAAGTGGTATTAAAAACTAGAGAAATGAGTTTATGTAGAATCGAGCTGGAAACTCATATAATAATTAACATGACAATGAATTATATTACACCAATTTAATTCAATTAATGCTCACGTAATTAGAATTTTTTGGGCATTTTTATTTGTTTGTTTGCTATAATTAACTATATTTGATGGATTAACATGACACCTTGTTTTCTATATAATTCAATATATTGTGTGTCATATTCTTTTTGTTGTTTGATCTAATAATTCATTCAATAGAATAGTTTCATAAAAGATACCTGAATATTTTTTTTAATATGCATGTACTCTTTTATTGAGCATAGTCTTTGTCAAGGAAAACTTTTTTTTAATAAACAGTACGGTTAGAAATCATATAAATACATACTCAATAGATCTGTAATGAATAAACATGTTGATGAACAAAAAAACTTCGATATTATGTTGATTTTCTTCCTAAGAAAAGATAATTGCCTCCAGGTCCCATGAAAGTTAGAGGAGGGATAGGCATCCGCTCAATAACTCATTATTACCAAGCAAGATGAGAAAGTTTTTTTTGAAATTATACACCACCTCTATGAGACATCTGCTAGTACGCTTCCAAATTTGGAAACCTCGTACGACATCTGATCACCTCTCAAATTTTTATGATCAAATTATATGCTTGTCATTATTTTTGGAGCAGGTACATCAATTGATTTTTTATATGTATTACTTTCACTTTTGCAAAAGTAAACAAATTATCAATGTTTGTATAATATATATCAACAGCATTTTATACGAATTGAAATATTATATTGTGTATTTTTATTTTATTGATAAAGGATTGAAACAGAAGTTGGACTACTTATTGAAAAATATGAAGTATATAATACCTCATACAGATGATTTTTGGATCATCATAAAACATAAATTATTATGGAGGAGTTTATTTTTTCTTAGCTGAAGAACATTTTCTACAGAACTATCAATAATTTAATGAACAATCATTTTTAGTTTTGAGATCCGATGTAATCATTTTAAGAAGATAACGGTACTCTAAAAATTTATGATACGTAACTATCGTTTATTTGGGACGGCACATGCATACATTGCAATGATAAGAATCATTTCATATGCCATGCCGATACAATGACTCAGAATAAAGAAAAAGTCGCCATTTTGGTTCATATATGTACTCTTGAATAAACTATTTTTCAATTCAAAATAAAAGGTGAGTTGTTATGTAATTGAATAACATTCTCTAGGAACAAGAAAGAGACTCTGCGATTTTCACTGATCGAAAGAGAAATGCCCGGAGTATCGATCTGTATAAAATTCATTAGGATGATAAATTCTTTTTTTTACAGGTGCTTTTGGCTCGATACATTTTTTTTTGCGCATTTTCATCAATCTTCACTCAAATTATATCAAAATGTAGCTCAAATCTCTATTTTTCACTATAAAATCATCACATATTTCATTACCCTGCAAGCTCTTATTTCAATCAGATTTACAAGAAAAATTGTGATCATTTTCTAGAAAAAAAAAGTGCCTTGAGCTACATTTTAATCAAATTTGAGTTGAGATTATGGTGAAGATTGATAAAAATATACAATGAAAAATGTGTCGAGTCAAAAGCACCTATAAGCAGTAGAGTCTTTCACACTGATGAATTCTGTACATATTGATATCCCGGGTATTGCTCTTTTGAACAGTGAAAACCGCAGGTCTCTATCTTGTTCCTACAGAAAAGTTATTCAAAACATGATAATTCGCCTTTTATTTTGAATCTGGCAGTAGTTCATAATAGTAAAAACAATGAAAATTTTATGAAATGTGAACAACATTTAAAAAACACGATAAAAGTAGCAGGGCCAATCCGAACTTTCGAACAGTAGCGTCCTATCTATGAAGGTTTTGACATTTGTGAGAACAAAACATCAATTTGTTATTAAAGCTGTACGTACCAGAGTATTTAAATTTTTCAGAATCGTCGCCTGGCCAGATCAATGATGAAGTAGAGTCGTTCGGGGTAATTCGGATCAAAAATAAAAAATTTCATTTTATTTTTTTTCGTTCTCATTCACTTTATGCAATAGAGGTTTGAATTTTGGNACATGAATTATTTGATGATTGACAAATTGAATGTTTTAAATAACATTTTGGACCATATTTTTTCAATGGACAAACACAAATAGATGAAGTAAGACAAAATGAATCCGGTGAACAAGAACAAGTTTGTTTGATATCACAATGTAAACCCGAATAACCTTGATCATATTGACAAAAATATGAGACATTTTTATTTATATATCGTATGTATCTTCCATGATTTTCACAAAACAATGGGCAAGATTCTAATTGTTGCATATTGGGAATGAATAATTGAGAAGCTAGTCGATTAACTGGAAGAAACTGAAAAGGAATCGATAGATGCCAACTTGCCCAATATGTTAATGTAATTTTATCAAAAATATCAATATGTATTGAATAATTAGCTGAAGAATTTTTCGGTTGATGAGGAGAAAGCAAATAGATGTTAAACTTTGTTTTGCAATCACATTTGGGTACATATGTGATTTGCTCATGATAAGATGTGATTTGTCTTTGTTCATCAATAAGCATAATAATGACTTGAAATACAGACATGGCAAATGTAATAGTACGATATATTAATTGGACAATAATGAATCATTTTCAATTCTTCGATATGTTAACACCATCCACTTTCGCAGCTTCTGTACAAGAAACAAGCTTTATCAATGATTCAATATATTATTCCAAAATAAATTAAATACGATATCAGTCTATAACATTTTCTCAACGATCTCAATTATATTAATCATAGTATTTCATTTAATAAATGCTATTCGAATCTCGAATACTTCTTTTTCATGTATTTTATTTCTAAAACCAAAAACAAAACAAAACAACAAAAAGAAAAATGTGAAAGCTTATTTATCGACAACTATTTATATAAACGAAATACATTAGATTTAATACATGCATGTGGGATTTCAAATTTCACATAAGGAGACAAAACAAGAAAAAAAATTCGATAAACATGTGGACGCAAATGATGACGCTGAGCTAAATTGGAAGAAAAATGCAAAAGAAAAAACGAAAGAAACGAATGAACATACACATCACAGAAATAGTTTGTTTCAAATTGAACCATTCATATTACCATTGGGTTCATAAACGAGATTCTGTATTTCCGGAGCAACAATTAATGATTGATTTGTATCAATAATTATTGTTGATGGTATTTTAGTTATTTTAGTTTTTTTCTTTAATACTGTTTTAATAATATAAAACCATGATGGAAGTATTATATTAATTAATATAAAACAAATAATTAATTGATAAATCAATGAATAACCTATTATATGATATATATATGTTTCAATAGGAAAAAAAGAAAATATAATTAATGATATAATTAATGAAAAAATAATACGATTATATTTCCATTTTGATTTTTTTACATTAAAAGTTGTATGAATTATTGTATCAAGAAATATAATGGGTGTTAAATATAACCAAAGTGCATTTGCAAAATTAAATGAAAAATTATGAAAAAGATATAGACATGTTAAACTTCCAGATAGAAGAATAAGTAAATGTAAAAATATTAGAAGAGCTTTTTCAAATGAAATAAACATTAGAAAAATGATAAGAAAAGTAATTATAACCATTAAAAGTATTAATACATAGATTTCCATACGTATTTGTCCTAATGATTCATAATGTGGAAATATAAGACTGTAAGGAAATATTGATGGTATCGAACTTTGCTGAGCTAATGTATACAAATTGTTCATCGTTCTTAAATCTTCACGATCACCTAAAGATTAAAATAGACTTATTAATTCCATGTGAATCAAACACGACAAAAACCGTAAGTAGTTTGACGTCAAAGTGGTTGGGATTTCCTATGACCAGCATTCTACTACGGTAAACCTCTAGTTGTTTTCTTACCGGCAATCTAATGCCGATTGTGCGACATGAGTTGAACTTCGTTATTATAACTAAGAATAGATATCTATGAAACTAGGAATATTTCATCGAATTCAAAGCTATGATTCATATGCATAGTATGGTATTATTCAAACATCGAAAAAAAGAATTTAGACTCGAGATTAGAGCTCATTGGCTCTGGGTCAAAGATCGAATCGGTCCGCTTCTATAAAAAACGCGAATTAATCCCATATTGGACTCGGTCGCGTTTAAATCGTACATTGATACTTTGAATGAAATTTTCTAATCGGAATCGGATAGCCGCCTAGAAAATATGAGCTAGTTTTCTCCAGTGTTTTGTTTGTATTCGGTGACTAGTATACAACTCTCAGATGACTAGAACTCATCGGATTCAAAATTTGAGACACGAGACTAACTCAATAGGCTCTACTTGAAATTTTATCTACATATTGATTCAACGGTTATTAGAATGTTTCGAAAGTTATCATCAAAATGAATATCTTTCTTTTGCGAAATTCAACTTGCACAAATATAGACATTGGATACAAGAGAATACAACAGTTGAATATAGTCAACGTTTTCGTAAAAATCACGGTTCATTTTCGTTGAGGTTTGTTTTGACATTCTAATGTAATCTTGATCTATAATTTACCTCTTATAGAATCATATATCATCTTTGAAAATCTCATATTATACATTCGATTTGTTAAATAAAATTTGTTACCTTTAATAGATTTATATTGACAATAGAATCTTGATGCTTTTATAATAGTTTTATTATTTTCTTCTAATAAAATGATATCATTTTGTGAATATGGTGTTACTCGAAAATTAATTGGATCTTTACTAGTTAAAAGATGATTAATATCTTCTTGATCTATCCATAATAATTTGAAATTATTAGTTGTTGTTTCATTTTGACATTGTTCTATAATACGATGAATTAATAATTGACTTTTATTATTTTTATAATCAATTGGTTGAGGAATAACAAACATAATAACCGGACCAATATCATAATCTTCAGTTTGTGATTTCATATATGATCTTAATGATGATGAATTTCTTGGAAGAAATTTATCATCAAATAAACGTGTATCAATTGAAAGTATTAACCATATACTTACTATAATACATATTAATGTTAATAAACATAGAAATCCAGCAAAAAAAATTTTAATTATTGGATTAATTTTATGAAAAAATTTCATTGGTTTTTGAAAAAATGTTTTTTTTATTGATTTTTTACGATCTTTTATATGATAATCATTTGGTATATGATGACATAATAAACAATGACGACGAGATTTAATACGTTTTAATGTTATAATAAGACATGATGAAAAAAATGTACAATGAGTTAAATAATTTATAAATACATATAAGATTAATGTTAAACTAAGATATTTTGTACATGGCATTGGAGATATTATTGATAGAATTAAATAAACAATTATTTGAATTAATGTTGAACATAAAAAATATGGACGACTAGATTTTATTATTGATCGAAGAATTTTTTCGATGTCAATTTTTGTTGAAACATTTGTTGAAGATGTTGGCATATGATGTTTTATTATTCGATGATATTCACCACAAAGAATTGAAATACGCATGCAATCAATAACTAGAATATTATTAAAAAAGAAAAAAATTTATACACTAATATACACTCTTGAAATCGGAGCTCAGAATTTTGGACTGAGTTCATATTTCTCTCAAAAATCCTCATAAAAAGTCTTATTTCTATGAGCAATTTGTACACTTCATAGAATTTACGAGGGAAATTTTGTAAGTGTCAAATCGCTTTTTGAGTTAAGACTATGTGCATCATCTAGATTCTAATGAGTTCTGAATACCCTGAAAAGAGTTCAGAGTGTATCTTGTAGCAAAATATCGTGATTTTCCTCAGAAAAACTAACTTTTGAATTTCAAGTTGAAATTTTGCATAGAGACACACCTTAATGAGAATAATTTATTGTAACAGTTTCGAATCTTTTGATTACTTTTGTCCTAAGATAGAGCTATAGTAAAAATATGTCTATCATGCCGCTCATATACAACGGCAAAGTCCGATGTTTTTATTTCCGTATAGGCGCAATCAAAAACTCTGAAACTTTTACAATAAACTGTTCTAATTAAAGCATATCTCTATACAAAGTTTCAAGTTGAACTTTGAAACTCATTTTTTCTGGTGTTCCTGAGGGAATAATGGCATTTTGCTAAAAAATACAGTATCTCAGCAGTAATAATCTATTCGTTCGAACCTTTTTCAGGGTATTCACAGTTCCTTAGAATCTACAAGATATACATAGCTCGAACTCGAATGCAATTTGACACTGAGAAACGTTCCCTCGTTATCAGTATGCATTTTCCAATGCAGTTAAATATATGAAAACTAGTCAAATATTTTGTCCAGAAACTTTCGACCCATCCCTTATATAACTATAAATCGAAAAACTGGAAAGGATGGAACATTTTCAATAAAGAGAATCATAATTTATATACTATATCGCTGTTTTTCAAATAGAAATTTTTGTTGACAAAAAAAACTAGACAATAGCTTACATTTCTTAATCATAGTTCATCCAATGGAGCTGACACTTTCTTCTATTTACAACTAGAGTTTTCTTCGCTATTGTAAGGATCAAAGATTTTATTATGTGAACTCATCATGAATTTATTCTTAAATGGTTCGGGCAGCACCATGCTGAGTTTGCGTTTCAAAGAAAAAACTTGAAATTAAATGATATTTGTCTAACGCAATCATTTAAATTTAATTTTGCATTAAGTTAAATGGTTGATCACTAGCTGTGCTTTGAATCGCATTAAAAAAAAGTCTGTTTCTATTGAAACTTACTAGCAACAACAAAAACAACAAGTGACATTGGTTCAATAATTTGAATTCTAAAAATTGATATTAAACCAAATGTAGCACCAGATGAAAGAGCCAAACTCATTATTCCACAAAAAGATAAATATCCAACAGATGTATGAAAATTTCCTTGAATACTGATAGAAAAACAAACAAATATAAAAAATATTAAAAGCATTATTGCTATAAATGGTCCTTCATCACGTGCTTGTTTACTAACAGTATCACTTATAGCTGTTGAACTTGATACTGATAAATAAATTAATTTTGATTGATATTTTTCATTAAGATAACGTAATACTTCATTTTCCCATATCGTCGATAAATAACGCATTTCATTAGTTGTAATATTTAATGAATATCGAAGACGAAATATTGGAACATAAGATATAATTTCTGTTAAAGTTGCTGGAGTTGTTACATCTAAATGTTCTTCTTTTTCTTCTCCTTCTATTTCTTCTTCATCAACATAATCTGACTCAGGTGATGTTACATTTATAAATTTATGATGTTTACTAAATATAAATGATGATAAACCATTAGCACCTGTATCTGAATCAAAATAAATTCCATGTGATTTACGTTTTAAATATGAAGCATCTTGACGAAATCTATCCGATAATAAATAATTTCCATCGATAAGACAAGCATTATTCAAAACTGCACATAACATTGAATAATTATATTGAAATGAATTATTACTATTATTTATTCGAACTGATTGAATTTGACGATCTAATGAACGAACCTAAATATAAATATGATTTTAGAAAATAGATTTATTGTTTAGTTCTTTTTTTTCTATCAATAGAAACTCTGTGTTCTTATTTTGTAAGAATAAAAAGTGAATAATGTAGTGATTCCTATAGAAACAACGTCACTGGACGTAATCATAGACAAGAGAATGTTTTCAATTGATCAATAGCTCTCTCACCAAACAACTATGCTAATTATGAATATGAATATGAGAAAGTATCTTAGATCTTCATTTGCTCATTTTCTAGACTAACAAATAATCTTTTCTGTTTTCGAATCATAAGCTTTAGATAAAATAATATCATCTTGAAGGTTTTCGCATTGCAATGTTAATATAATGTGTACCAAAATTATTCAACAAGGCTTATTTTCAATTTTTTCCACTGTCGTAAATGTTACAAAGAATTGAAACACAGTGATTTAAATAGAGAAAATTGTTTCCTAACGGAATATAAAACAAAAATTGTTATGAGACTCGCAAAGATAAAGACTCCAAAAAAGCTAGAAGGTTAGTTTTTCGACATTTAGAACGTTTAAATATAATTTTGTTTTTACTAATTGAAACGATAGAATAAATCATCTTCTACAAAATGATATATCTCTAACATGTAAAAGTCTAAGAGAATTTTCTTATAATCATATTTGAAATCAGCATGGTCGATAGCCTACAATCCACTAGCTTTTGGTGAGAGAGCGATTGAAAATGTTTCCTTTTGAGTTCACAGTGTCCTATTAAAGATTATCTCAGTTAGACACGTCACAATAGTAATACGATATTGACAGACTAATATTAATATTTAGTATGTAAAGACAGCTACCATTACTGATTAGTTACACTGCTGAGTGGGGGGAATCATTTATGATTCCAATATTTCGTCAATGAACTGCTATTTTATGGCACTATCATTTTTCCATACGATTTGATCAACGAGTTTTGTGGCCAAGGAATCTAAATCAACATGTGGCTTACTAACGACAAAATATCGGATTCATAAATTAGAACAGTGGCATTCGCAGTATTTCTTCTCGATGTTGTTAATGGCTAGGAAGATTCTGCAAAAAGATGTACTCTAACGAAACGATCTAGATTAGAATTATCTGAAGAAGTAGTTTTCCTCTTTCCATCTGGAATATTTAGAAAAGAGATTTTATTCGATAGCAAAATTAAATATCTACGATCTTTCTTCATTGCACTGCATTCAACTTACAGAAACCATAAGCATTATATTTTTTTCCTATTTCTGTTGAAAATTTCAATAAATTGATCACCTTTAACAGTATGAATCTTTCCATAAAATTGAATAGAGTTGAAAAAAAGAAAGTTTATGCAGCCATTAAACCCGTATTATTCGGCTCAGAAATATCTGCACTATCGAATAAAACCATTTTGGAAGAGTTTTAAGCAGAAGTCAGAAAATCAACTTCCAGGATCTTAGTTTTCCAGAAACTATCGTCCAAGCAATTTTGTTAGAATCATCGAATCGATCGATCTTCAAAAGAAACAACAAATCTTAAGATCTATGAACGTTCTTATATTTTTTCCGAAACATTTATATTAGATAACTAAGATATATTTTATTTTTTAGTAAAAAATAATTTTTAGAACATTGATTTCTCCATTATTTTAGCTTTTCATTTTTTTTTTATTCGAATTTATGATAAAATTTGTATGTATTAAAACTGAAAAGATTATAAATAAAAATTTATACTCTTACTACCTTTGTCATATCATGATACTTTATCATTTAATCATATCAACTAACATGAGATAAAAAAAAAATGAAGTATCTACTAATATAGCTCTGAAAAAGGATTCATTCTTCGTCCTTGAAAAGTAAAATAATAATTAAAATAAATGACTATCGTCTATTTCAATATACGGCAACATAATTATAAGCTGATTTCAGTAGCTTGTTGAATAAGAAATTTATAAGCCTAGAAAAAATTCTCTCATATTTATAAGCAAATTAACCGTTTAAAATAAAATAGTAAACTAAATCCGATTCAACCAATGAATTTTAATTGCTAAACTTTTACGTAATTAATTTATGATTAACTTGATATGATCGATTTTGTATATTATTTCTATCTTTAAAAGAAAAGAATTCTATTTGGTCTATAACGGCATTGTTGATGAATTATATTCTTATAAAGATGTTTTTCTGTTACATTGAGAGTCATTTATATAGAAAATAAATCAAATATGACCAAGAAAAATCAGTGAAACATCTATTAATACATGATGCTTACAAAAATGGTTTCACAATTCAAATTCATTGGTTGAATCACACTTAATTCACTATTTTATTTTCACGTCGACTTTTCGAAAGTTTTTTGGAAATGGTAAGATCTAAAAGTATGACATGCAGTCGGAGGCAACTCAAAAAAGCCATTTTCTAAAACTTGACAAACAGTTTTTCGATAACAACTCAAAATTTATCAAGACATGACATATAAAGTAGTGAAAATCAGTCTACCCAACCTTTCTTTCACATCGAGATTTACGCTTTTCTATTTCAAATATTAACACTAAGCTTTGCTTATAAATATGAAAGATGTGTTTAGGCTTATAGCCTTCCGATATGATGGGAAAATATTGAATTAGCAATTAGAGACCATGGGGATATTTATGACTGAAACAATTATATTTTGGGTATGGATGGTTAGAATACTATCAACATTATTCTCAAACCCACACTCTTCTTTAGTTTAGTGTCTTTCCATTCATTCAATCTTCATCGTCAATAAAATAGCAAGGTTAAGTTATAGTCATATTGTATTATAAATCACTTAGTTTTTCTCATTGAAAATTTCTCTTAACATATTCTAACTTTCTTTTAATCAATACNTTTTTTTTTGGAAAATTGATTCAGTTATAATTTTGAAAAATAATGAATATCATTATTTGTGACTTGATTAATATATATGATAGTGTGTAAGGTCTGCTGTAGATATCATAGGTATGTAAAACACACTTATTTGTTAATCAATTCAATGATTATAATAATAAGAATGATAAATTACGAAAAACGAATTCAAAAAAATAAAAAAATTATGAGCGAATAGCAACAATGCAAATAAAAAATAGGGCGCCCATAGAAAAATGTTTAAAAAACATTCTGTTCAAAATTAGAGACATTATTACTCTTGCGATTGATTTTCCTGCAAAACAACTATAGTCTAAGAGAGATTTTTCAATTTACGAATTTTGTATCAGTTGAATGAGGCTAGAGAGCATATGTGAGTTCCACATTTCAGCCTCAAAGGGGCTGCGCTAACAAGCTTTTTTTTTCTGTCTATCAGTTCTATACTACTGTGTCTATCACTAGAGAAAAAGTATCAAGCAACAAAGTCATTTCAATTAGGGTTTTCATTAGTATCGAAGTGTAAAAATTTCGTAATCGAAAATCGAGAATATAAACTGAATTTGAATTCTCTATCGATTTATGTTCATTATTCATTTTTATAATTCGTTTTTTTTTCAGTTGACGTTGGATATTATCTTAAAGAACACAAGTAACACGGCATAAACTTCGCTAACCCATCAACTGAAAGAAGAAGAATATGATAGAAATAAAATAAAATGATTATCATCGATCTATCTATATTTTTAAAATGGAACTATTTTTAGATATAATTAATTCGTAGCAGAAGTAATGTCCTATTGTGTTGTACAACCATTCAACATCCATCTATATCACAAAAACATACATGAAAATTTCGAAAATAATTTTTGAAATAGTTTATGGTTAAAAAAGTCCTCGTTCTGAAAAATTTCTCTGTAAGAAATGCCTCAAAATTCTTTTTGAGCCTGTTAAAATTTGTATTTAAGTTTGTCGAACAAAATCTTTTGAGATTACTTCTCTAGACATTCACCTCCGCTTATTTTGTATGCCTAGTTTCTTTCTGTAACCGATCATATGCAAATAAATATATATATGTATATACTTTCTTTCGTCCTGTGTAACGAACATACGAATATCTAGTCGTTACCGCTACTCGACGCATAATGCTTCTTCGAATTAAAACGAAATCCAACAGAGTTATTATTACAGGCAAAACAATCTCCTATTTATAGGTGCATAAAACTCTTTAATATTAACTAGTTTATAAAGTTGCTAGTAACATCATCAGAACTTTTGATTAGTCCTAAGCAATGAAGTAGAATCTATCGGATCGGATCTGAAGTAAGCAGAAGAGCCTAGCAAATTTTCTTGATCGTTAGAATTATGAGATAAATCATCATCTGTTTATTGACACTATATCAAAAAACTTAAAGACAAACAACCTTTCTTTAGTTTTGAAATAGTTTTCTCTCATAGATTGATTTTTCCTGGAAATGTTGTTTCAACTTGATTACAAATTTTGTAGCAATTGAGATATAGCTCTTATTTTGTGTGTTATACTTGATACTTTTTGGTAAAAGATTTTTATTGTTTTTCTACAGCACATGAAACATTGCATTTTGAAGTTTCTCTAACGTAGCTTTTTGTATAAGATTTTGTTGAACAAAAAACAAAAATTACAGAAATCGCTGCTGTATTTTATAAAATTTAATTTTCTTTCGATTTTCATAAAATTTAAAAATTCAAGTAGTAATAGAAACACAAAAAATTGTTCAACAAATCTAATATCATTCAAGTATGAATATCATTTGAATAATTCACCTATAATCAATGTAGGAATGTTTCGAACTAATCAAATTAAGAAGTGGCCATTGATATCAGTGAGAAGAAACCACTGCAAATCGACAAAAAAAATTTTTTTTTAGAATTTTGTGAGTCATCGAGCACAAACAAAGAAATTTCCTCAGACTAACAAAAGGTGACGTTCTTATCTTCCGCATCCGTTTGAAACATCTTTAAATTAACGTTTCATTACGTGAATATGAATAAAAACTCTGTTTTTTTTTTTAAATAAAGATCTTCGATCTTTCTCTCACAGCGGTCATTAAGATAGTTTTGATGATTCAAGGCAAACAAGCGTACACAACATGTTTGAATTATAACAAAACAATTATTTTAAAAAAAACTTTTTTTTTCTTTTTTGATTTTAATGTTATTCACTTGATAGTTCATGTACATGACGTATTTTGAAAATTTCCAATGACTTTTCGGAAGAAAAAGGAAAGAAAATGTGACATTGGCAAAGACAATATTGACTCATTGTGAATGGTAAAAAATGTATGTCTCTGCAGGACACTTGTTTTCGTTCGACATTGCCAGTTAGATAAAGATATTTGAAAGTAAGAGAAAAAAAAACAAAAAGAAAAAAATTTTACCGTGCTTGTTCACACAACACATGCATCATATAAAACATCAGAAGTAAGAAAAAACAACAGAAACATGGCTGTTAATCCAAACAGAAGATTTACAATTATCTGGTTGGATTCCGACGCAAACAAGAGTGAAGATAATCTTTGTACGCAACAAAATCTATTTAACTCTTTTGATAATGTTGAAATATATGAAGAAGAAAATGAATGTCAACAATATATTCAATCAAAGCCACAAGTACCATTTTTAATTATTGTCAGTGGTAGATTAAGTCGAAAAATAATACCCAATATTCATGAACTTCAACAACTTGTAGGTATCTATATATTTTGTTTAAATAAAAAAAATCACGAAGAATGGTCTCAGCAATATTCTAAAGTAATTATATTTTAATTTTTAATTTCTGTTTTTTGAATTTTTCTCTTTACAGATTCAAGCTATTGTTGTTGAATTAGACGAATTGATTACCAAAATTCGATCGGACCTAAGAATGTTTGCAAGACAGATAGAACCAACGACAACAATGGTTCCTACTTCAACAACAAGTATCACAAGTAAGTCAATAAAAATTATCTCAAATAAAATTGTATGACGTAGGATGCCTAAGATTTTATCTTTTAAAATTTATTTAAAACTTTCAATTTTGTCTTCCACTATTAGATCGAACGCATCCTAGCTACAGATGTGTACGGGACTAGAACTTTGAGAAAAAAATTGTCCCAACGGAAAATAAAAATTATAGTTAAATATTCGATGATTGTAATCGAATTATCTTATAAATCATGTCAATCAGTTCATAACTCTTGAGACATAACTCACATAGTACTAGCCGTCAACTAAATAAATTAAAGACAAAATTAGATTAACTAAGACTATAATTGAGATGGAAATCGAAAACATGTTGCTTCTGCACGTCGCTAATTCCAATTGAAATCGAAGGAAGTCATAAGATAGAGTAAAGATTTTTTTGTTATCATCTCATATTGTAAGCAAAGATATTTTCTTAGTGAATCTTATTGTCATATATCTGTTGTTAATAACTCTTTGAAGATACATTCGTATAAATTGAAATTTGTTTTTTTTTATCGTCAATCACGATAAGATTTTCAAGAATATTGATAATACTTGCTGAAATCTATTAAAAATTTTGAGTTTCATTGAACCTTTTTCTTATTTTCAAGTCACTACATTTTAATATTGAAAAAGTCATTAAATTTTCTAAAGATTATAAATCAATTTAATATATAAATTTATGTTATTCTACTCTAGGTTCAAATCCTGCACTCATAACAAGCGTGGATGATTATTCAAGTCGATCACTTGAAGGTGCAATGGCTTCTGTATCAATTAATGATATAACATGTCCATTCAATGGATATAACAAAGTCTCAATAGTATCTCTTGAACAAGCTGTTGCTCCTCTTACTAAGATTGTTGATAAAATCGAACAAATGGTTTGGATAGTTAAACAAAATTGTGATAATCCACAAGATGGTCTAAATAAGGACGAATCAGCTGCGATAGCACTCTATACGATGGAATGGTATTCGAAAGAAATGACTTTTAATTACATTCTCAATCAAATATTACGTACAGAAAATGAATCCCAATTGAAACCATGGTTCTTCTATTTGAAACTTCTTTTACACGCACTTTCAAAATTAGAATCAATAAATTCTGTTGTTTATCAAGGTGCAAATAAAAATCTTAGTGATGAATATCCTAATGGACGAGTTTTTTCTACTTGGGAATTTTCTACTTGTACATCATCTATTAAAACACTTGAAGATGAAGAAACTTTTGGAAGAATAGGTCATCGAACTCTTTTTACTATTGAATGTCATTCAGGCAAATCAATTAGTAAACATGCACATGATCAATCAAAAGATCAAGTTCTTCTTTTACCTGGTCGAAAATTTCAAGTAATTTCCTGTCTTAATGCAGGCAATAACCTTACTATTGTTCAAATGCAAGAAATGGAAACATCCTATAATTTTAATTAGATTACGAAAAAAAAGACTTGAATTTTTGTTTTTGTTTTTATTTCCACGTTGTCGAATAATCTTTTTATTTTGTGTCACATTGCCAATTGAACTTAAAATATTATAGGAGAAGTGTATATAATCAGTTTGTTGCTCAATAAATATTTGGTCACTTATTCCTATATAAAAAAAAAAGAAAGAGAAACAGTAAAAAAAAAATGATTTCGTTCATATTAATGTCAATAACATTTTGGTTTTAGATTTATTTGATAATTTCAATGTGTGTGTGTGTATGTGTTAGATAAACTCATGTAATCATTTTCTAACAATATAAAGTTATAGATTGAATAATTTTTCTCATAGGATAATTATCAAAACTCTTTCATGATTTTTCAAATAGATTTCTAGTAATAAATTATTGAAAAAAGCGTAATACTACTTTATACTTAGGTTTGACCAAAAGTTCTGAGATCTTTAAATAAAAATATAAAGATAAGGAGATATTTTTAATTTTATTTTATCAAATATTGAGGATAGTTGCCATAATTATTTATATCAAGTTCAATTTTTTCTAACAATTTATTAAAAGTTTTTTTGAACTCTTTTTCTAAAAGAATTTTAGTTACCTTGGATACCGCATGAGTACATAATATTTCATTTGTTTAATTAAATAAACTCCCTTCGACAGAGCTACTCAATCAAATATTGGGTAGTATTAGGTACGTCGAATATGACTGCTGTGGCATTATATTGATGCCTTCTTCTGTCAAATAATTAATAACATCGGATGAGTATGAAGTCAACGATGATCCTCAAGCAGTTTTATACATTTTACACTTTATACTTCTTTTTGTTTTCATATTACAGTTACAAAAGGCTTCAGGAAATTTTCAATATAATACTTATAACCTAGTGTCATGCCTTTATCAACACTCAGGGCTATTTAATTTAGAGCATATGTCAAACAAAGTTTGTGTTCAAATCTATCTCCCTGAACAATAGNATTAAATCTCGTATTCTTTTTTTTCTGAATTTAATCTTATTCAACAACAAAAAAAATGTCATTATGCCTCATGTTGCTTATTTAGACAGAACATTTTATTGACAGTATAGAATATTTTATATTCTACTTTATCAATACTATTTTTCAAATCATAATAATAGAAAAGTAATGTCTCTCGCTTTGTAAATGTTTTATTCACTTTTTTTTTTCTTTCTTTTTTATATTTTGAACATTTATATGCGTCATGAAGGTACTTGAAATACATTGAAAAAATCACTTTTCTCTCTACACATTTTCTCCGACTGTCTCTCAGCATGTACACTCTAAACACGAGACATTGAAGCATTGTTATTATAAATGAAGTTCGATTTTCAACAATATAATAAAAGAAAAAGTTAATGTGCCAATAGGTAAACCAATAGACAACTGACAATAATTCTCTTTTTGATTTAGATGATGATCGCATAGTTTTGTTAATTATATGAATATATGAAAAATTATTTAATACGACGTAAATAGGTATTTATCTAATTAAATGATTTTTCTGTTTAAGCTATGTCATAATTAAAAATGTTGACGATGAATTTGGAAATATCTAACCTCTAATGATGATAATGAATCTTCATCCATCATTTTCTGATATATTCTAAAAGCTTTTCCTTTTAAGTAATAATTTTTATTCATAATTCGCTTGTTAGTGACAAACATGTAAAAACATTCTCCATGTCAGTTTGTGCGTTGTCAAGAATGGTTTCTCTTCTATTCGTTTTCCTCATACATACCTATGAGGAAAATGAGTAACGATAAAAATGTTTTTTTCAGCAACAAACAAGCTAGCGTATGGTGACTGATTTTTGCATGTTTATGATCAAAAAGTTAATTGTGAATAAGGTTCATTTCGCTAATAATTGAACGTTTGTTTTGTGATATAATAAATAAGAGAGAATTTATATTTGGGATAAGCTTGTAAGTTTATTCTAGTTATTTATTTATTTATATAATAATTGGTAAAATAAGAGAGATAAATTGATTTGATGTGATTCATATTAAATCTCGTATTCTTTTTTTCTCATTGACTTGTCAAAATAAATCTTTAGAGAACATTATTACAAAATTTAATGATACAAAAAAAAATGCAAGAAATAGAGTTTATTAAAAACAAAAATTCATAAGTAAATAATAAATGTTTAGTGATATAAAAACTCTACCAGTCAATAATAATCGATTTATATTGTGTTTTTTACAGTTTACTTATCTATCAATAAGAATTTATCTTCGTTTTATTTATTTATTTTTTTTGTTCTAGATAATAAACTATGGCATTCGATTCAATGAGTGAATCATGTCTTTTTGATTTAGAACAATATTTACATTCAAATCCATATCGACAATATTCAATGAATAAGTCAAATGTCTCTAAAGCAATTCCTGTTTCAGCTCATTCACAACGTTTAAATTATCAAAATAAACCATCAGTTGTTGCTTTTCATCAATTAATAAATAATCGAAAAAATTCATTAACACTCGATCGTATTGCTTATAAACTTCGTATGAAATCAGATTTAAATGTTGATACTTTACGCGATACACCTATTCGTCGTCATAGAAATTATTATGATTCTCTTCATCATCAATCACAAAATCCTACGAAATCAAATATTAATGATGCATTTAATGTTGTTCCATCATCAGCTACAACTAAATCACATCATCGACAACCAACAGCTATTACAACGACAACAAATTCAACAAAAACATTAGTTAATGATTAACTTAATGGTAGCGAAGGAAATGCGTTACATTTTGGAACAGT